TTAAATAAGCAAACAAAAAGCAAAAACAAGGCTAAACAGTCCTGTTACTGAGGTCTGTTCAAGTGGCCTCTTCTCCATAAGTTGTTTTCTGCCAGAAGTCCCCAGAGATCAATATTTAGTGAGGATTCCAACCAAATCTCCCTATACACACTGAGTTATCTTAATCTCAGTCACAAGCATTTTCTTGGAAATGACTGTGGGGAAGAAATCTGGTCTACTTACGAGGCTCTGATCAGTGTCTAAAAGAATTTTTTGATAAAGGGTAAACATATTAAACCTTAATATTTGTACTGTTTCTTTCCCCAAGGAACAAAAATGAACATCTTTTGTAGTTAGAAAAAAAAAAGCCTGACGTTAGGTAACATCAAACTTCAGCTATAAATAAATCCAGTGAGGAAAATGAACCCTAAGAGAGTCTCTATGGCATCAGGTAGATCTGAATATTGTAGAGCAGTTCCCCCAATTATAATTATCAGTGCAAAGGAAGTCAGAAATCCAGACAACTAAGGTTAAGAGAAGAAAACTGAAGAGAATATGAGCTGTGATGGGCTGGAAAAGCAGGGGCGGCCGAGGCATGGGCATAAGTTGAGCAAGAGCTTTAGCTAATGACTCACAGTGACTGTAATCAGTACATTCAGAAAGGAAAATGAGCATCTCATTATATGCCACACACACCATCCCAGACCCTCCCTGTTCCATGTGAATATAGACTCAGTCAAAATGCCTTGTTCCACTCTGGCAGTTCAATCTGAGCTCAGGATAGGAGGAAATCAAGCAGAATTTTAGGGGAAAGCATACTCAAGCATAGAATTCCAAATAATCAATAATAAAAAGGCAAATGATAGACCTCAAGGAAGCTATCACCTCTGGCAAGATGAAGTTGAAGATCCTGTGTTCACATAAAACATGGGCAGCTCCTCAGAAACTGATCTCAGGAAGTTGAAGGGGCCAGGAAAGCAACAATAAAGGCCAAAATTTAATAGTGCAGCAAACTGTGGAGTCTCTGCTGATCAAACACAGTCTCTGATGCTGAGCACTCTCAACTAAGGAGTCCTGGGTGAGTTGCGTAGAGACCCATTGGTGGTGAAAAGTCCAAGCAGGTGACATACAAGTTGCTTACAATACTTTATCTCTTAATGTTGACAGGATACTATGTATAGTACTGTAGCCAGGGCTCCTAAACTTTACAGATGATGTACTGTTTTATGTCCTTTTACAATGTTTTTATTTATTTGAGAATTTCATACAATGTATTTTGATCATATTCAGACCCCCTTCCCCCTCTCACCCTAGCCTTACAAACCCCCTGGTCCCCACTATCATGTCATCTAGTATTTGTCTTTTTAAAATGCTTTCAAGGATCATTTCTATAGTTCGTCTTTATGTTTTAATAATTTTTTTACATTTATTTAATTATTTGTATCTGTGGGGGGGGTGGACATGCATGCCAATAGGGTGCAATAGAGACAACTTACAGAAGTTGATTCTTTTCTTCCACCATGTGGATTTTGGGGCTTGAACTCAGGTTGTCTGGCTAGGTGCCGGGTGCTTTTACTGCTGAGCCATTGCTGGTCCCTATGTCTTCATTTTCACAAATGTTATCAGCATAGTTAAAGGGAAGGAGGTGACAGTGCAGACACTGAAGAAAGGAGGGAGGGGCTTTGGTACCTGACCTTGATCATCATCCAAGACCCCCCAAAGGAAGCCAGGATGAAGGCCAACTGGTGTCCATAATTGCCATATAAACAAAATGCTCACCAATTCTGGACTGAAAAAATGCCAACAAGTGCATCCTATAGATCTCTCCCAGCTAGTCCAGAAAATGCTAAAATGGGTGTGAGTCAGCACACTGCTCCAGGATCCTATGTTCTGTTCTCCCTAGTTAAACTCACAGCAGAGCTTTTGAGAAAGAGGCACTGAAATTCTTCTTGTATTAAGATAGTTGTTGGTTTTAGTTTAAATGATTAGAGAAAGGCTAGGTAAACTTTTTCATAAAGCATCAAATAGTAAATATTTTCAGATTTATGGGCCATGTGGTCTTTGTTGACACCACTCAGCTTTGCAGCAAAAGCTATCACTGGCAATAGGAAATTCAATGCATGTAGAGTGGGACTTGGCCACCCTGGTCTATAGCCTCAGGTAACTAGTGATGCTCCATTACCTTTCAAATAGTCTACTCCTTTCAAATAGTCTACTTCCTTTCAAATAGTCTACTCCTCTGAACTTAGTTATGTCAACCTTTGTCACATGGTCCCAACTTACAGGACCACCTGTCTTGACGTTTTTTGATTGAGTCTTTGCTGTAGGAATAGGCTTAACTTTGTTCTCATGTCTAAGTAGAATAATATTTTGTATTTTTGGAAAGTGGAATATCAAATTCAAATGCTTGATACTCAAAATTTATGTCTCCAAGCTTTTAGTGATGTTGAGTATGCATGTTCCTATATTAGTTAGCAAGGGCTACTATCACAAAAAATGAGTACTGGATGGCTTATATAGTTCACTTTTTCACAATTCTGGAAACTGTAGTTCTGAGATTACAATGCTAGAAAATAGTTTTTTCCTGAGGTCTCTGTCCTCATCCTTAAGACAGATGGCTGCTTTGTCTCTGTGTACCACATGATCTTTCTTCTTGTGTCTTCCTCTTCTTATGAGGACATCTGTGCTATTTTATTAGGGCTCTACCCTAACAGCCTGATTTTTCTTAATTGATTCTTTAAAGATACTTTCATGAGTCTTTAAATAGCCTGTCTTCAAACAGCACTGTGGTACTGGACATTAAGGCTTCAGGACATAAATTTGGATGCTACACAATTCAATTCATAACAGTTCCTATTTCTTTATATGCCCGCAGGCTCATAGGCTTCTGATCTGTAGACTGAACACACAGTACCTAAGGATAAGCATTAAAGGTAAACCAGAAAACTGGTATTAGCCCTGGGCTATGAAGTGAGAAAGCGTTCTTGCCCACACATTTCTGTAACTACTTCTGACACAATTCCTCCCATAAAAAGAAATGTAGCCATGAAAAGTGGATCCCAGCCTGTGACCCAATTGCAAGCTGCAGTCACAACCTTATTCACAGGGGTGCTCGTCTAATGAGCATCAGAGGTCAGGACACACTCTATGATAAGTCAATGTGAAATCTAACTCTGACCAAGGAAAAACACACTTTTGCAGTTTGTTGTGACAAATTCTATAAGGAAGAAGAATGGAAGAACTCATCTTTCTGCTTCTTATCTTTAGGATTAGGATCTTGTTCCTTTAATTGAGCTTTACAGGATATGTATTAGTGATTGTAGTTAAATTATCCTGGTGAACAGCTAGCAAATATTAGGTAGTTAAAGTAATAGAAGTTAACTGTTTTCTTAAATCAAAGTCCAAAGTAGGCTAGAATGGAAAGTTATTCACGATTCAAAGTCATTCCAAATGCCAACTCCTTTCTACCATATGATGCCACAGGTGAGGAAGAAGATTGCAGGGTCTCACAAGTATTTGTATTAAGAAAGGCTTTTAGTATATTTCACTATAACTCCAATGAACACATTAGAAATTGATCCTGTGGTCCCATGGTTCCCAAATACTTTCAAGTGTTGGAAACTGAAATTTTCAACAATATTTCTCCAATTTCTCATTGCCTTCTTGAATACACAGGTATTAGTTAAGCTTAAAGGTTTTTACAAATACAATTTTGCTTTTATGATGGAATATTAAAGTGATTCTATACTGTATAGGATTTAATTTTCTCAGCTAGCCCTTGTCCTCTCAAACTCCTAGAGAGAACAAAATGTGCTACGACAGAAGTGTGTCTATAGACCATTAGGGCAGCAAGGCTGATCTCAGGGCTGGTTCAACCTCAGCTCAAGAGCTATAATCAGACACTTTTTAAAGCATTGGTAAGTAGTTTAAATACTGTGGTTGTCTAAAAGTCTAAAAGAATATCCATCTAGGGTTTATCATCCTTCAGAGACTCTTCGATAAAGCTAACACTGCCCCATGGGAACCTTGAAAAGAGTCCAATGCTTCCCTTGTTCTTTGTTTCTAACCTAGAAGCTTTACTTAGTCTGTTAGGATGAGAATAGGCTCACTAATCTAACACCAAGATGTCTCTTCTTATAAAATGGAAACCCTTTAGACTCATTTTATTAATCACTGAGAATTTTCTTTTAATGTTTTCCATAGCTTGAACATAAGAAGTAATCTTTCTTAATTTAGGTATTTGATTTTTTTTCCTGAATGTTATTCTGAAATTAGGAGGATGCATCAGCATGCTATGGGTTCCCTACAGTCTAGTCTGGATTCTGAAACTAGAAGCAGAATTGATGCCAACTGACTGAGGAAGAAGATGGAAGGGGACCTCAAGGAGATGGAAATTCAGCTTTGCATTGTTAACCGGCAGGTGTCACAAACAAATCCTTGAGCCAGCTTCAGAATCAAATGAAGGTACTTTCAAACCATACTATAGGACAAGGGTAGAAATGCTTAATTAAACTAAGCAACAAATCTGTTGGGCAATAAAGGAGAAGACAACAAATCTTAGCCTTTAAGAACGTTAGAGCATGGTTACCTTAAAATAGATGGGGATCTGCTAGGATCATGAATACACAGGGACACATCCCATGCTATAGAGGGGACATTAAGCAGGAAGAAGTGAAATAGAGGAAGAGTCTGGGAAGTCATCTGATCTTGACACCATTTGGGGCATAGCTATAGATATTAAAACCAGTGTTTTGCTCATAGCCCCTCTGGTGTAAAGGGCAGGATGGTTAACACTCTTCAAGGTAGACATCAGGGGCTGTCCTTGTCAACTGAAGTTGTCTCTAGATCACAATCCTCCTGCAACAAAGGAAATTCTAGTCTGCACCCAAAAGGGCTGCCTAAGCAAACAGGTGGGAAGAAATATGACAGAAGCTAAGGATAAGATACGAAATGGGAAGGGTAGCTGCCCCCATAATGAGCCAGGTACTTGTGCATCCCCAAAGTTCCACCTGTCAGGACAGTTGCTCAGACACTGCTGGTCCTGCCTGCTATCTGTCTTCTGAGAAGCTTAACCTTTGTACTTCCTTTCTCTCTCTCTCTCTCCCTCCTGGCAGTTGCTGAGATCAACAGCTTGCTTATCCTGTTGCTCAAGGCATTTCCTGTCTTTGATTTCGGCAAACTGCCCTTGAGCTACCTTTCTGTGTCAGTTTGTAAAGTCTTTTATCCATGAGATCAAGAACCTGGAAACCCTGTATAGTGTGTTAG